AGTAAACCTATTACTTTCGTTTCCATTTCCGCTTAATTTATATTGGTGAAAAAAAATAATGATATGATTTTTAATTTTTGGTGTCTTATACTCAATCATTTATTAATCATTTGATATAAATAAACAGCGGTGGATTAATATTGCATCCGTTGGAAGTGTCCTACTGATAGATATTATATTCATATGCTAATGTAATGGATAATCATGTGTTTTTCACTTCTGTATTTGTCCAATTATTAAGTCGTTCTTACCTTTCGTAGTTATGCTACCATTTTCTTGTGTTAACTGTTAATTTATCGATATTAGGCATTCTATATTTGATGACATTATCCAACCATGAAACACTGGTAATTTCGCATATAAACTGAATTTCAGTGTAGACGTTGAAATTTCAGTGTTGGCACTAATAATATGGTGTATACCGTATAGTCGCGAAATAACGCGCAGGAACGTTATTTCGAATTTCGGCCCGAATTAAGCTTAATTTCGGCCGAAATTCGAAATTACACCCTGCGCGTCATTTTGCGACTATACGATACGTTGAAAATTAAAATGTATATAAGAGCATGCCTTACCCTTCGTTGAAGGATAATTAATGTTCTATAATTCTGTAATTCCTCCCTAAAATAAAGAATACATAAATTTACACTCTTTTTACCATAAATGTCAAGTATCTAATTTCCCTATTTTATGGCAAAGTTCACGTGGCCTATCTAATGTCAACCATCGGGAGTTAAACTCGACATGACTATAGCAAGCTTCCCTTTCGATGGTTACACTATAATAATGTGGTCATAGCTATCATTATTTTACAAATAACTTTGAATATTCTATACATTAACATTAACATGGAGTTTAAGCAATGCAATAAATACACTTACGTGTCGAGAGAGTTATTGCGCAGTAACTTTGCCCGATGTATATTGGTGGAACTATAATATCATTTATGCAAATGAATAATGTATTACTTTTAATAAAATTAATCATTTGGCCTGTATAATTAACAGTTTAAAGTAACTGTTATATAATAAAGAATCTGATACGTGGACAAATATGGTACGTAATGAATGAATATAATTTCCATTAAGCATTAGCTAATAATCTAAGTCTGGTATTTCTTTAGAATATATTTGTCCTGGTCGCCATATTTCTTGGCGGTATTAAGTATCTTGTTTAATAATAATTAATAAATGTTTTAAGAACAAAGATTTCTTCTATTAAACATTTAAATTAAAAGCTCCCGACAGACGCTTATAATTTTTGGTGATTGTAATGAAATCGGTGACCTGTGAATTTTAGTTATTGCGACATATCAATTGCAGAATTGTGGCTATGCCTGTGAACTGCAATCTCACATATAAATCTTGTTCTTTTTTTGATTTATTTTAAATCCTTGTAGATTTTTTAATTATAGTTCTGACAGAGCCTTATTCCTCCAGTTGGATTCAAACCTGTAATCTTGCAATTGTGATCCTAAAGTGCTAATCACTGCACTATCAACCCAGGGGCCCAATATATCATTTTCAATAAAGTTTATAATTAAATGTTAGTTATTTTATTGGTTGCATAATTTGCCACATTTTCTTTTAAACTAATACAGAAAAGATTTATAAATTGTATATATAGGTTATTGGGATCTAATCAAATGACTATTATAGATACCACATTTTACTGACAATTATTCATCAACAAGTTTATTTTACCAACAGTCTATTTTACCGAAGCATTCTGGTTAATATCATTAGTATTAGGTAGAATTAGTTCTAAAAGTTAGTATAATTTATAAAAAAAAAAACTTGTTGGAGAAATGAGCTTTGGTGAAATAGACTGTCAATAAAATAAACTTGTTGATGAATAATTGTTAGTAAAGTGTGATATCTATGAAGTAATTGTCAGTAAAATAATATGGATCCCAGATTATCAAATCATTCTGATTATGCCACAAATTTTTTTTCTTGTATTCATGTTGTATTTATAAGATTTTTAAGTTTGACTACTTAATAAAATGTATACATTGCTATGTAAACTATCTGAAATTATATAGATTGAGATAGTCTGGAATAAATCTGCCAGATCTAACACATCTAACATATAGGTTAAATATGTCAAATTATAGTTGGTCAATTACAACATTATACCAATAGTAGAATTAATTACAATATATATAGCATTTAATTACTCTAAATATTATTTGCTGTAATGCACAATGCTGTAATGTTGCAATGCCTAATGCTGCAATGCTGCTATGAGCCCTGGAATCTGACCTATCTACTGTGGCCCAAATATAACCCAAGGTCAAGTATGATTTATTGCGTTTATTCGATTTATCAAATTTATCAAATTTGTTGGATTTATCAGATTGTCGCATTTGTAAGATAAGTCGCATATGTTAAACATGTTACATTTATTGAATTTATTGTAATACCAAATATTTTATTATAAATAAAGACTACAAAGGCCCTAAAAAAAACTAAGTTTCCTGCTGTATACAATTATTGTCTCCAAAAATAAAGTACACATTTGACCCATAAAACCTTAAGATTCTAAACAAATACCTCTCAATAAATACTCTAAACACAGATCTAACACTAAGGGGTTTGGGTCAAAATCCCAATAGGTCATAATCCCAACAAAAAAATCCCGACAATCAAAAATCCCGACAATCAAAAAAGTGGTTATTTGAGCAATTTTACTATATAATCACCTAAACCCTAATCTTAACCTGAGCGCATACCCTAACCCTAATCTATGCACTCACTTACCCCTACTCTAGCTTAAATGAACTTAATAATTTTTTGTTGTCAGGATTTTTACTTTCGGGATTTTTTTGTCAGGATTATGATCTGTCGGGATTCTGTTTGTCAGGATTTTGACTAGCACCCACACTGGGTGGTATAGTAAAAGGTCTATGTTCGCATAATTGCCTTGCTCACGTGACTTCATAGAGGATTGTTGTCCAATTGATTCTTGACATACTGAGGACTGCATATTATAATGAATATGACAAGATGAAGTATAATGTGGAGCAACAAAGTTGTCAATAAGTAAAGATACTGATTATTGCATAAAAGCAATTCAACTTAAAGCCTTCGCATATGATAATGGATTTCATTTAATGAACTAGATAATGTTATAGAATTGAAAAAGAAGAGTTTGACTCTTTATATTCTATGATATTGCTTGATGATTGCGAAAGATAATAGTAACAAGTTTAATTATGTAAGAGTATATGAACTATCTAGTAAGTACAACTGTTATGCCTTAAACGAAAAAGAAAGTTTTATGAATCATTAACATGCTTCTTAACTATATGTTTGCTCATATTTCATTAACCAAATTACTACTGCCTAAATGATTAACAGAGTAAAACCTCGGATCGAAAAAAAAAAAAGCTCCCAGCGCAGGAGCAGGCGTAGAACTAGTTTTATAATACAAAATTAATTGCCCAGATCCCTTCTTATCGTATGCTGAGTTTTCATTAGAATTTGTGTTTTTAATTTTCATTTTCTTCGCCAATGTCTCTTCATCTGTTTGTTCATAGGAACATTTTCGACTATCATCGACGAACTGTCTCTGAAATGCATCAACTTGATCTGCGGAAGTTTTGATTACATTTAACTGTTGTTTAACCCGTACAGTTTCAATTTTTTTGTATGCTCGATTCTGCTTACATACTTCTTTACACCGGCGCAATCCAAATCCTTGGGCAAAATAGAATCTGCATTGGTAAATCATTCACTTTGAAAAATCTCCATTAAAATATGCAAAGAGAGTTTCGAGCTAAAAGCCCGCCACACTGAACCAGAAGTTAAGGTTACCACTAAACTAAAAGTTTGACTCCAAGGATAAAAGGAAGTTCGAGCTAATAGCTCACCACACTCGAACCAAAAGTTGAGGTTACCACTCTAAACTAAAAGTTTGAGCCCTTCCTATCCTTACTATTCTTCAAATTATTCAGTAGTTCTTGAGCCTTTATTTTGCGTATTATGTTGAATTCAGTCTCAACATTTGAAGGCTTTTCTTTGCTCTATCAAGAACCTTTGATATAGGGTTGGGGCACGGGGTGTGATTTCAATTTGTCACAGGGGCATGAGGACGTGATGTTACTCATCGCATGGAAATTATTAATTACCTTGTGATGTTTTACTAATTGTTATCATGTGATTATTTAGGGAGTTATGCTGTGCCCCGCGTGATGATTTTCCGTGCCCAACCCTACTTTGATAGCTCGTAGATATTTTGTGATAAAATGATCTACTAAATTGGCACAAGTCCATTCGTGTATCGGCATAGTCCAAAATTTGAAGTCATAGAAACGAAAAAATTTTTAGGTCCGTAAAGCGTGCCCAGACGCGAAGGTCGGTTAAAAGCGGTGCGAATTTTGATTGTCTACATGTCATGTGTTGTGATGGTACAATCCATGAACATCGCAATTAACGTTAATGAGTTCGCCAGGGTCTGCGCAACAAAATTTTATGAAGTGCACATAAACATTTATCTAAATTTATAGGTAAATTTTACAAATTTATATGCGGAATCTGCATATACGCAACTAAATTTTTATAATCCGTAAGTCGGTTTTTTAAAATTGGTGCGGAACTTAAAAATTGAATTAATTTTTTTTGTGAAATGGGTCCATACTATGGTAAAATTATTCAAGAAATCTTTTTCACTAATAAGCAGCTGCGATTTCATTAGCTAAGTTTTGATTAATTCCGGCCTAAATTTTGATTTGGTCACCCAGTGTCTGAAAAAAAAATAAATTACGCAAAAAATTATGTAATGCGGGCCAAAATTTCGTCGATCACAGTCGTTGGCCAATCGATGTGGCCCGGTCATTTGACCCGTACTTCTTTTGGTGGTCGTCCTAAATAAGAAATAACGCCAAGACGTGTAATATCTAGATTTTTCCCAAATTACTGTAAACATAATTCGGGCCAGTATTTAAAATATTTATTGAAAAATTTTCCAATAAACTACAAAAACTTTAAGAATTGTAATCAACGACGATGAAAAGTATTAAAAATAAAGATTGAAACACTAATGCCAATTCCAAGAATTTTAACCCATTTTCCTAAATTGACATTCTCGGTACCGTGTAATTCTTTTTTCCAATTATCTCTTTTCAATTTCCAAGAATTTTTTGTTGAAGAATTTGAAATCTTATCTAAACCATCAAATTTAATTTCCACCATCATATATTTATGATCAGAAGCAGAGTAATCATCATTACCAATCCATCGATTAATAACTTCAAAACCGCATAATAGAGTCCAGTCAAGTTTTGCAGAATATAGACCAAAATAATTTTTATTTGCTAATGTAATATCTCTCGTAGGTGACCAAGGATCATAAAAACCAGGATTTCGAGCAGCTTTTAAAACATCTAAATTAAAACCTGAAATTATATCATTATTCATCAGAGAATTAAATTGATTGATATTCGTATCATCATTTTTTGTTAGAAAAATATTTTAACCAAATAGACAGAATCCAGGAACCACCAGCTTGTAACTTAAGGTTTATATCTCCGTCATTAATATGCCAATCAAAAAGATTGACATCCCACCATTCAGATTCAGACCAACCTAATGACAAGAAACGATATCTATCTGTACAGTATAAAGGAGATAGCCGTGCGATTGAATGTCCCATTGTATTTAAATCACCAAAAATTAGTTGATGAGGATGAGAATTAATGTGATTTGTAGAATCCAGTAATATCTCTGAAAATTGAGAAATTCTTCCAATAATCCCACACT